CGCAGCAGAAGCCAGCAGCAACAGAGAAAGTATAAATACCACAATCAATTACAAATATCAGTTTATTACCTCTAGGTCATATAAATGCTTTGAGAAATTTTATTTTTTATTACATTTAATATTTTGAAATGTACTTTTTTTATCATTAATTCCTAATAAATTCCCCGTGAAGATTTCAGTGTGTTTCATTGCATAACAGCGCATGTGCACATAAGCAGTGCAGAAGGCACAGGCATGATGAAATGCAGATCTCAGTTTAATATTTCCGCCAGTTTATCTGGTACAGGACAAATTTCCTGCCTTTGGTTCTATTAAATTCTTGAAGAAAGACCTCTTTTTATTAATGTTATGACTTTTTACAGTCATTCCTATACAAAAGATACCGCCATCTTCCTTTCAGCCAAATGCTGTTTCAGCTACAGACCTCATGCTGCTTATCTTGTAGTTGTATCACTGCTGTTGTTGTGTCAACCGTCCAGTGTCAGCAAAAGGTTTCATGGGCCACTGTGGAAGGGGGTAAGCTGGGTCTCCAGTCAGGTAATGTCCCAGATCACAGCCTGCTATGGTGACTGTTTGTTGGCCTAGCAAAGATCCATCATTCAGTCTGTCCCACAAGTCTGATTGTCGCAACACCCTTACATCATACACACTGCCTGGGAAACCCAGACAACCATCCCGAAAATGACCTTTTCCATCCACAGTTCACTGCGGAATTATAGAATACCAGCCCTTGTGGATAAAGTAGTGACAAACAAGTTCCTCTGGTGCTACAATGGGTACATGACTTCCATCTCTCACACTAAGACATTGCGGCCCTCCCCAGCGATTGGTGAAGAACCTCACCATGTCCACTAACTTTGCAACTTTGTGTGTAGGAAGAAGAAAACTAATCATGGGCTGCGCACCTCCTGGACGCCCCGATACGCCGCGCCAACGCCTAACCCAAAAAGGTGACCGACGGACCTGTAATCATGGCGTTGCGCACCTCCTGGACGCCCCGATACGCCGCGCCGACCC